TCCATTCTTTTGTCCTATCAACTTCTTTTTCTTTTGAATAAATTCATCAACTACTTGAGCCTCTTGAATTTGTCTTTGTAATCCACTAGTAATCTGAGTTAAGTTTAATTTTATTCTATCGTGGTTCATGGTAATTGATAAATTCATGTTTCGAACTCTTCTAGCAGACTCATCTCATGAATCATAAGGGAAGAGACATGTAAGATTTTCTACTTAAAGCGTCTCGCTACTACATTTGCCTTTCCTGGATGGTAATGTAATTCAAAATCATAATCTTTCAAAAATTCCATCCATCTTCTCTCGTCTCATATTTAACTCTTTTTGATCAAACAAGTATTTAAGACTTTTATGATCACTAAAAACCTCAAACTTACCACCATACACATAATGTCTCCATATTTTGAGTGCAAAAATGATGGCGGCTAGTTCTAGATCATGAGTTGGATAATTTTTCTCATGTGTTCTTAATTGTCTCGAGGCATATGCAACTACCCTTCTATCTTGCATAAGAACACATCCTAATCCCATTTTGGAAGCATTACAAAATATCACAAAATGTCCAGTTGGGTTAGGCAATGCTAGTACAGGGGAAGTGGTTAATCTTCTCTTAAGTTCTTGAAAACTATTTTCGCACTTTTCTGTCCATTCAAAAACTTGACATTTCTTGGTGAGTTGGGTTAAAGGAATAGCCATTTTAGAAAATCCTTCAATGAATCTCCTATAATATCCAGCCAAACCCAGGAAACTACGAATCTCAGTCATTGTTTTTGGTGGATCCCATTGTAGAATTGTTTCTACCTTAGTTGGGTCTACTGACACTCCCTCTTTGGAAATCACATGACCTAAAAATTTGACTTCTTTTAACCAAAATTCACACTTAGACAATTTAGCATACAATTGTTTGTCTTTTAAAATTTGAAGAACAACTTGAAGGTGGTCCGCATGATCTTCAAAAGTTTTAGAATAAATAAGAATGTCATCTATAAAAACCACAACAAAATGATCTAAAAATGGACGAAAAATCCTATTCATATAATCCATGAATATTACAGGAGCATTGGTCACACCAAAAAGCATTACTTGATATTCATAATGACCATACCTAGTTCTAAATGCAGTTTTTTGTACATCTTCTGCCTTTACTCTAATTTGGTGATATCCTGATCTTAAATCTATTTTAGAAAATACAGAAGCTCCTCTTAATTGATCTAACAAATCATCTATTATTGGAAGAGGGTATTTATTCTTTATGGTGAATTTATTTAACTGACGATAATCTACGCACAACCTAAAGCTGTCATCTTTCTTCTTAACTAATAAAACAGGGGCTCCCCAAGGTGATACACTAGGACGAATGAATTGTTTTCCAAGTAATTCTTCCAATTGTTTCTTCAGTTCTGTCAGTTCAAAAGGGGACATCCTATATGGTGCCATAGAAATTGGTTCAGTTTCAGGCATTAAATCTATTAAAAATTCAGTCTCTCTATTGGGTGGTAAACCAGGAATGTCATCAGGAAAAACTTTAGAAAAATTTTGAACAACTGCTATTTTTTTCAAATCGACTTCCTCTTTTACTTCCACAGAAGATAGTAACAAATATCCTTGAATTTTTTTCTTCAAAGACTCATTTACTGAGATGGTAGAGAAACTCAAAAGATTTTTAGAATTTGAAAATATTACTGATTTTTCTGCACAATTTAGAAGGACTTGATTGGAAGATAACCAGTCCATTCCTAGGATTACATCCAATTGAGATAAAGGTAGACAAATTAAATTTACAAGGAATTTCCTGTTTTCAATGAACAAAGGACAATCTAGAAAAATTTTATTGGTGATTACAGACTTACTTGTGGGAGTTGAAATAATCAAACTATTATCTAGAAAAGAAGTCGGCAATTCAAGGTGTTGGACACAATCATTGGAAATAAATGAATGAGTTGCGCCTGAGTCATACAGTACATTTAAAGTTTTTCCTTTAATGAAAAACATACCTTGGATCAAATCAATATTCTGAGAAGCTTCAGTTCCATTCATGGTATATACTCTTCCTGTTGTCGGAGGTCTTCTTTTTGGTGTAGAAGGATCAAAATTTGGTTTTTGTTGCCGACATTCAAAGAATATATGACCAGGTTTTCCACACTTGAAACAGACAGGTCCTTTAAGATGACAATATTTAGCATAATGATCTTGTCCACACTTAAAACACTTGAGCTGATTATTTATATGTTATTAAAATTTCCTGCAGAAAATTGATTGGGTTGGGATCTTCAGTGGGGGCGGTTGTAAGGTTTTTCTTCATTTTGTCTCCTTTTATTATGTTGGGGTCCAAAAGATTTTGGTTTACTATTTTGATGGTTTTCAAAATCTTCCAAAAATCTGCATTTATGAATAAGCTTAGGAAAATCAGAAATTTCTAGTATTCCTACCGTTTTTCTCAACTCGGGCCTAAGTTCATTCTCAAATTTTATACACTTCATTCTTTCATCAGGGTGATAAAAGAATGCAGAGTATTTTCCTAGATCTTCAAACTTAGAGGCATATTCTCCTACTGTCATACTTCCTTGCTTTAATTGCATAAACTCTATTCTTTTGTTCTTCTCACATCATTGGGAAAATATTTTTCTAAAAATTTTGTTCTAAACACTTCCCAAGTAATGATTATTCTTCCTCCTTCTAGTAATCTCTTGGTACTATCCCACCAATATTCAGCCTCTCCTATCAACATAAACACGACATAATTCACCTTTTGGTCATCATGACAATTCATAACTTGAAATATTTTTTCCAATTCTTTAATCCATAATTCAGCCTTTTCTGGGTTATAACCTCCACAAAATTGTGGAGGTTTGTTTGTCCTAAATTCAACTAAACCTTGTGATCCATTGGTTCCTTCAGGTCTTTGGTTCCTTAATAATGCAACGACCATATCTCGGATAGCTTGTACCACTTCTGTCAACTCGTTGTTCCTTCTATTATTTGCCATCTGGAATTATATAAGTTAGGATTCATAAGATATCAGGATATACTCATTTCACAGATCACACATGAAATTTTGCTCAAATACCATTTAATGTGACATTTTTTTATTATTATTTGTATAAGAGTAGGAGGTCAAAAAATATTACATATATGTAAAAATAATTTACATCACTATATAAGATATACAAAAGAAGAAGGAATTTTATTTTGATTCCTTCTATTTTTTTTTCTACAATTTTACAAGTATCTACATTGTCGGTGGAAACAAACTGATTAAGGGGTTTTGGAAAAAGGTAGGAGGCATACAAAAGGTAACCACTACTTGGCCCATCTAACATAATGGGATTTTCCATATCAGATACAAATGTTATTATTGAAAATCATATCCCTCTAAAAGTAACCGAGTTGTCTATAACATTCGTGTTCCAAGTAGTTCCTGGAAAGAAGGTAGTGATGCTTGCAGAAAAAGGATTTGGAATATTTGGCGCCTCCATCTACTTAAGTTGGTGTTTAAATAAAACATGCACAAAAGATCACAATAGGGAGTGAGAACATTTATCATTTACAATAATACAATCTTATAATATATAGATATATATGTTTCAACTTCCTCAACACATTCTATTTTATGAAGATTTAAATTAAATTTGTAGTGACTAGGCAGGATAAATGAGCTCAATTTTAACCACTCTCACAGTAATATTTACTCATTTAAATCCCCAAGGTCCAACCTTCATCTACAATATCATCAAATCTTCACAAATAGATATTATTATGATTGAATAATATAACTATAAATTAATAAATATGATCGCTGCATTACTAGAGATAAAATAAATAGGACTAGTACATAACTCGGAGATAATTAAAATAGGACCAGTGCAAGACTCGGAGATAAAATAAAATAAACAAACAGGACCAGTATCTAACTGGAAATAATTAAAATAGGACCAATGCAAGACTGAAGATAAAATAAATAAACAAACAGGACCAGTATCTAACTGGAGATAATTAAAATAGGACTAATGCATTATTAGAGATAAATAAACAAATAACTAAATAAATAGAATAAGGTTAGAGACACCTCACTCCACAACTATAAGCAAAATAAAATAGATTTAATGATAATATTCTCATTCCCTACCTTAAGAGTTGCGGATGAGGTACCAAAATTTTTGCAGAAACAATTTTTTTTTCTCTTTCTCTTCCTTCCTCTCTCTTTCTCTTTCTCTCTCTTCCTTTCTCTCTTTCCCTCTTTCTCTCTCTCCTTCTTTCTCTCTCTTCCTTTCTCTATTCTCTTTCTCTTTCTCCCTACAGATCCTTCCCTACCCTTTTTATAGCAATTCTTTTTTCTTTTTATTTATTTAATTACGTAATCATAAATGTAATAATTATGATTTTGATAATGTTTATCTTTTAAGATAAGATAATGTTTATCTTTTACATTAATTAAAATGTTACAAGAATGATTATATTCAATAAGTCTCCATCTATCGGGGTATCGTTGTAGGCATCCCACCCTCCTTGTGTCCAACAAGTTCCAGCTTTTGACAGAAGTTTCAACCTTCAAGAAGTGTTATTTGTTGGGGAAAATCCTTAGCCTTCTAAGAACAATAATAAAATTACAGGGAGTTAAAAATATAAGGTAATTTTGGCAACAATAATCATTAACTTTAATGTATGTTTTTATAAGGTTTTAAAGATTTGAAATCATTTATATTAAAATCATTTGAAATTTCATGCGAATCTTCTTACGAAAAATAATAATAATTCCACAAGAAATTAACTATGAATTAAAAATTGACAAAATCTTTTATGTAGATTTATAATTAGCAAGAGAATTTGAAAATAGTATGAAATTATATGTAAATATGAAATTGGCAAGAAATTAGTTATATATTTAAATTGCAAGGAATTGCATGATATTTTATGTAAAGGGGATGCTTAAAAGACCTTTTTTTTTTCATTCCATCTCTAAAATTTAATCCTTATATGTTAAAGAACTAGAGATATGAGGTTACCTAAACAAAATATGAAGTTGCATGTTGATCAATCTCTTTGCCTTTTTCTACTTCACTCCCTTCCTCCTTGGTTTTATGCATTTTAATTAATTCTTAATCAACCATGCCAATAAACATTACAATGTATAAGAAAGAATTGTCAGAATATCTTATTAGAGAGGTTATTTTTTTAAATGAAAGGAGAAATATTATAATGCAAGAGAGACATAAAAATAAAAGAGGATAACTTTACTTATATGATAATTAAGTGGTGAATAAACGAAAAAAAAAAAGTAATGTGAAAACTACTATATACAAAAAATATAAATAACAGAGTTGACCTCGAAATAGCTATTTTACAAGGTTTGAAAGAGAGCCTAAGAGAATATATAAATCAACCAAAAAATGTTCTAAAGATCCCTACAAACTTACATATTTTTGTATGTGTATATATGAAAAGGAAACTATATACAAAATTTAGAATGCAAATAATATCAAATATATTTAACCATGTTGAATCACTATAATATTATAATCTTTTAACGTCTACGTACAATATTAAAAATTAGTACCTGAATTGTGGTGCATATATGATATGGAGTGGTTCAAACTTCCGAGCCAAACTTTCTTCACAAATGTTACATAAATTGATCTTAAAAACGGTGTCACGACGGTTCCATTTGAAAATGTTTTCATATTTGGAATATTGATCACCCTCACCGTCTTCAACTCAGGCCAATTCAAAGTTATACTTTTCTTATAAAAATTGACCAACTTTGGAAGATCCTTGAGTACAAGACATTCTAGTTGGGGGAAAATGATAGGCACCTTTCCATCTTCATTTATATCACTATAAATGATCTCTTCTATTTCTTCACAATTACAAAGCCTAAGTATTTTAAGTTTTCCAAGATTTTTGACAGAAGAAACTGAGAATAATTTTTTGAGGCTACCACAGTGGACAATGTACAGTGACTCCAAATTCAGGCACAATGGAACTTGAGGTTCCTTGTTCCATACATATTTCAGTTGCATTAGTTCAATCAATGCTATTACCTGTAGTTGAGGAAGTATTTCTTGGATATTATTATCTAGATTGTCATCATCTTCAAAATTAAATACTTCCGTTAATAATTCACATTTGTCCAAAGTTATTTTTCTCAATTTCTTGAATCTCATGATCATGCTGGAGGAGATAACACTCAACAATTTATTGTTGTTGGTCAAACATAGATTTTCCAATCCACAAAATGACTCAGAGGGATAACCATGATGCCAGAGCTTCTCAACATGCATATTCATCATATGAAATTCCTTTAGTTTGTCCAATAACAACTGCCACAAGCAAGTGGTAATTTTCAACTATTGGGATGAATTCAAAACTACGTAAAATGAACTACAAGAAATAATTAAACAACTGATAGTTGACGGTGTCACATAATAACATTGGCATGTCCTTGTCTTATTCGATTCCATATACTTCCATTCTATACCATGAAGATGACTTTTGTGTTTTTTTTTTGTTTGTTTATTGTTATTGGTTCTGTAAATAATAATAATAATAGTATTTATAAATAATTATTACTCATAATTACAAATATTATGTAATCTTATTTATATAAAGAGAACAAATTTATCAACTATCTTGTTATTATTAGGAAAACAACTTAATGTAGTTTAAAAGATAAAATAATTCTTTATTTACAAATATTAATAGTAATTAAACTAAACACCAAATACATCATATATCAATGGCAAAGCAGTGGAAAACATCTAATTTGCATGAAAAATATAGACGCATACTTGATAAATGATATTTTATCTCAAACTGTAAAATTGAAACTTACTGAATTTGGGAAGAAATAGTTGGTCGTAGATGATTCTGCAAAAGCTTTAGAATCTTCAACAAAACTCCTTGTAGCATAACAATTTGCAATTTTTAATGTTTCTAATGATGGAAATTTAAATATTGAAGGAAAGACAATGGAGAGTTTCGGTAGATTTTCAAGAGAAACACTCTTCAATTCCCGAAAGATGAACTTCTCTCTTGTTCCCTCTTCTTCTTCTTCAATGATCATAATTCTCTCCAATGCCTCACAATCAGAAATTTTCATATTTGTTAGTGTTAGAGGCACTGGTAGCCAATTAAGAGACTTACATTGCTTCACTTGTAGGATTTTTAGATTTGGATACAACCTTGAAATTTCATTGTTGATGATTTGAGTTAACATTGGAAGATGACTTAAAATTAGTTCATGTAGTTGTTGTAGGAGAGGTGTAGAACAAGACTCATTAACTTTGAATATTGTTTTCAATTCCTTACAATGATTCACAGACACTTTCTTCAAGTTCTTCAACTCTTGTAATGCCTCAAAAGAGAAGACGCACACAAAATTGTCGTTATTGTTAAAGACGATCTCATTCAATTCAGGGAAAGACTTGCCATCAATTATGGAAATTGCATGTCCAGTTGTGAATTTTGTCAACAATGGACATCTTTCTATGGTCAAATACTTGAGACTTGGGAATTCGAGATGACCGTCACAGAAATAGGTAAACTTTGGGAGATATTTAAACTTCACCTTGCTTAGTAATGGGAAATTACGTGTTGAACCATCATCATTGAAAATGAGAATAAAAACACTAATGAATGCTCCACACGACTCTATGACTAATTCTTTTAGTTGGTGAAGCTTTTCCACTGGATACCAACAAAAAATATGTGTCAGAAAGTGACAATCTTTGATGTGTAAAATTTGCAGGTTTCCGAGGCCAAGAGTTTCTGGTCCGTCATTCCTCCATATTCGTTCCATCCCATCTATGTTTGTTAATTTTAGTTCCTTTAGCCGTGTGAAATATATACCATCTCCATCTCTTTCTTCAGAAGGTTTAGCAGTGTGAAACAAATAATGTAATGAATAGCATTGCTCAATGTTGATGACTTCAAGTTGGTGTGACCGACTTATCAAAATATACAAAAAATCACGTAATATCGGTCCATGGCAATTTTTCGCCCGAAGCACCTCAAGTTTGGTGAAATGGGAAGGTTGAAGATTATCGATTTTCTCATTCAACTCCTCGCCGTCATCAATATTATACTTGGTAATATTTGACAATTCGTCATCCTGTATTATTTTTTTGTTCTTGTTATCATTTTATGAAAATCATGAAACGTAATATCAAAGGCTAAAAATTATTATACCAACATTGTTTGTTAATTATACTTTTATAATCAAACAAAACTAACCCTTTTATAATGTTTAAAGATGACTAACCGATGATTCAAAAAGATGGGCAACCTTTGTGTCAATGTCAATTTGCACTTCATTTTCCACCATCAGAACTGACTTTAACTGTGACTTATTTATCTTTCCCAAACCAAACTTCTTAAAGTTGGGACAGTTCTTCACAATCACATTCTCTAAGAATGGCCATTCAACCATGTCTCCTAAATAAAAACTTCTTAGATTGGGCAACTCTTCAAGATGTACTTTCTTCATTTCAGCAAATTCAATTGCATTTGTAGGTATGCATTTCCGTAACCCGATTCTCTTTACATTCCATATATAGCAAGACAAAAAAAAAACATTAGGAAAATTATCTTCAATTATTTCCTATAAATTAATTGTCTGTCTCATAATGACACACTCTTATTCTAAAATAATAGAGGTTAATATGATAATAATAATAATAATAATAATAATAATAATAATAATAATAATAATAATAATAATAATAATAATAATAATAATAATAATAATAATAATAATAATAATAATAATAATAATAATAATAATAATAATAATAATAATAATAATAATAAATAGAGTATTTATTTATATCTCCACTCACAAATCAATGCTTCTATTAATTCTTTTCTTTATCCCTTCAAAATGCTTTCAATCTCATTCTGCTCCCTCTTGATTACCAAAGTTAGATTCTGTTGGTTTCCTAAATTCTTTCATGAAGATCAAGTTTTAATTATTCTTTAGAAAATAAAACATATATAATTAAAATTATATTAACTGCAAAATTATTTCGATATTTTATTGATTAAGCAATAAATAATTTTTATTAACCGGTTATACATAATAAACATTAAAAATATAGTAATTAACATTTAAGAGCATAAATTAGAACTTATCGAAAGTCGAGTAGTAGTTGTAAAATCATTTTTTTTAAATATATTATTTTTACATTCATACATTGTGTTTTCTTAATGACGTCAATATTTAAGTATATTTGCAGATATTCGTCAACAAAAATCATAATTGTTGAATCTCATTTGAGAAAATATTTGATTGTATTTTATCACTTTACTTTTCGCCAATAACAATATATAATACGAGCAAGGACTTTTATTAAAATATTCTAGGTGGGTGACCGATTTTTTGGTTTTATGCCGATTAAGTTAAAAAAGAGTAATAATATTTTTTAATGGATTAATGACATTATATTACGTTTAATGAACCAATTTTAATTTGATGGAATTTTTTTAAATAAAATATTAACATATTTATACCAAATCAATTAATTTAAAAAATATTTAAATAAAAATAAAAATATATTTACAAATTTTAAATTTTATTAATAAAATTAATTTTTATTTAAGATATAATAATTTAATATATAAATTATAAGAAAATGTATCATTTTAATATTATTATTTATTTTTAGTAATTTATTAAAATAATAATTAATCTTAATCATTAGATAATGGTTGTTAGAAATTTATTTTTTATATTTACTCTTAAAATAAGTGAATCATTTATCAAATTAATTTATATAATATATATATATATATATATATAATTTTTAATAAAATAATATTACTTTTATTTTTATTTAAAAAATAATTATTATTCTATAAAATAGATTGACTTATAAATTTATGAGATAATCTGAATTAAATTAATATAGGTCATAACCTAAATAAACCTAATAAAAAAACCAAAGATATAGATGGAGAAAAAAAAGTGTACCCCTAGTGAGGTACAAGGAAAAAAAAAAAAGAGTCATCACGAAGAGAGAAGAAGAACATATTATTTCCATCTAGAGAAGTTAGGTTGGATAGAAGGTTTTATCATTTCTATTACTTTGAATTTTGATTATGTGTTATCTTGTTAGATATTAGTGTTATATGATATTTATTTATTTATTTTATTGGTTTGTTAATTTTTGGTGACTAAAAAAAATTTGTATTATATCCATTAATTATTATTTTTTCTATTTTTTATATATACTATCATTTATTTGTTAATTAATATTTGTGGAGACTATAATTATTTACACAGATGAAAAAAAATGATGGATTTTACTTCCCATGCATTAATTTTTGTTATCATCCCCAATAAATATTATGTATGGCAATCATTGAAATGAAGGTGGGTGAACAAGATCAAAATAATTAGAAGAATGTGATGCTGTTTGTATAGGCTTTTGATAAATTCTCACCCAAAACTCCACTGCGTTGTCCTCCATCATCGCCATCCCCATCCTCATGCCCATGCCCATGCGTCGTAGTTCCCTATCCGCTATTCCCACATGATATGGCATTCTGTTCAACATATCAGTTTACTTAGTTTATAATATATATAGTGTGATCTCCAAAGTATTTACAATTAAATAACTGAAATATGTCTAGAAATTACCCGAACAGTCACTTGTTAAAAATATGTCTCTTATTTGATTAAATTATTCATGGCAGAATCATTAGAATAGAAAAGGTTTGAAATATTAACTGTTAATTACCTTTGATTCCCTTTGAACTGTAAGTGCGGAAGAAAGATAGATGGATAGATTTGAGGAAAAATGAGCATTTATTTATATCTCCACCTCACGACACAATCAATGCTTCTATTAATTCTTTTCTTTATCCCTTCAATATGCCTTCAATTTTATTCTCCCTATTGTTTATTCTGGCTGTTTCCCTAAATTCCTTCCTGAAAATTTAGGGTTTGAGTAATTCTTTACTTGAATCTATCGCCGATATATAAGAATATCACAAATTATAACTCGTAGACAAACCTAATGTGAGTATTCTTTGTTCACCTTTATAACTGCAAATAATGTAAAAAACATCTCCAAACTATCTCTCTTTTTCCCACCTTTCCCTTCCTACAAGAAAACATTCATATATATAGTTATAATCAAGTTAAGGAAATTTTCTCTTGATTCTCTCGTATGATTTATTGGGAGCTTACCAAATTCTCTTGTAGAGTTGTGTGTTGGCAAATTTTGGGTCATGTATATATATGATACATAATTTAAATGTGTTAGAGTCATTATTTATTAAGCCAAATAATAAAGTGATCTGACTAAATTAAAAAGGTTTGGCTAAAGGCATATGTCATGAAAATAAAATTGTGTAGAGACCATAAAGCAATTTCTAATTTGATGAGGGGCCAAATTGGAAATACTAAAACTTAAGTAAATAACCTAATTTTGGTTATTTTAAGGGGTCATGGTCCCCTTCTGGGAGCACGCAGACAGAACGTAGTTACAGTCCCGTTCTTTTTTTTTCTATCCCCATCAAGAGAGAAAATCAAGAGGGAAATACATGTACTCTTCAGGTGGAAGACCATAAGATCAAATCAAAAGTGCTCTACAAAGGATATCATCATTATGGCTAATTCAGGTACGCTTTCGCATTTAGTTTATAACATGTTTACAGTATGAGATTATATATATATGTTTGATCATTAGAATGAAGATCATAATTAATTATCAGTTTTCCTAATAATTGGTATCAGAGCAACCCATACTTAATTCATGTTTGTTTTTTGGAAATTACATTTAATAAAATTTAAATTCTGTTTAATTCAAAATCTTAGGTGGAGAATAATCTCCAATTTTCATAAACCCTAAATTCAAATTTGGGGGTAAATTCCTCATTTTTAATCCTAATTTCGGTTTCCTAAGCATTCGTTTTTCCTCTCTTTCCTCATCCACTATTTCTCTCCGTTTTCTGGTCCCGCCAGAAAACCTCTCCCGTTGGACGGAAAACCTCTTTCGATTTCGGCCTCCCTTTTCCGCGTTTCTGGGGGAAGCTGATTTCGATCTTCTCATTCGTACGTTTGCATTCTCCCGCAATTGGCTAATTAAGAGTGAGATCCAAACCCGTGAACTGAAACTTGATCAACGGTTTCAGCGTCTCGTAGGTCTTCACAAAGCACGTGTCGAATGCGCCTATGCTAACGAACGGTCCCTTCACCTGGTTTCTGAACTCGTCCCTGATTGCATTGTAAACCGGTTGCACGAACCGCGTTATGACCGTACCGGAATCTATGATGGTTCGCGGATCCTTGGTTCGGGTCAAATGCGAGATATTCGGTGGGTAACAGGACCTGAACCTGGCCCACAGTTACTCCCGTGAGGTTCACGTAGTAGAGTGAGGGCCGGCGCGGGTTTCGGAGAAGTGGGTGTTAGGATCCAGCGCATAATGGAAATATTTGCAGCATGAAAATAAGTACTGCAAAATTAACAATATTCATCTAATTCCTCAACCAAGTGGCTTTCTGTGGAACACTTTCAGGTCATCTTTTCTTTGGCTGACTTGATGATAAGATGGGAAGGAAAAAAGTCTATGGCATGACTCTGATGCTGATGGTTATATGTTCCATCGGTTCCGGCCTTTCATTCGGACATAGTGCAAAATCTGTAATGGCAACTCTATGCTTCTTCCGGTTCTGGCTTGGCTTTGGTATTGGTGGAGACTATCCACTTTCTGCTACCATAATGTCTGAGTATTCTAACAAGAAGACTCGTGGTGCCTTCGTTGCTGCAGTGTTTGCAATGCAGGGTTTTGGCATTTTGGCAGGTGGTATATTTGCAATTATAATTTCAGTTGCATTCAAAAACAGGTTTGATGCACCACCATATGAGATTGATCAGGTTGGCTCAACAGTCCCAAAAATAGACTACATTTTGGAGGTAAGAATGTCTTCATGGAGGGAAATTATGCCGCACAGGTCCTTAGACAGAGTTAGCGTAAGGAATATCAATTAAAGGATTTAGTTTAAAACCCTACATGGCAGTTAATTACTAACAATCGGGCCCTTAACCCATGAGATCGTCTTCGGCCCATGATGCATTCTGCAGTGGCGATGGTTCACGCCTGTGAATGTCGTTATATATATATATATATATATATATATATATATATATATATATATAAATTAAAATTTTCAAAACAATCCAACTTAAAGTGCATATATTACTTTTTGGTAGTTTAATATTTTTGTGAACAAATTGAGTCAAGAAGTTACCAAAGTAACATTTCTTGAATTGGGTAGTTCGTAAAAAATATTGAATGTTAGTGTTTGTGTATATTCATGCGAGTATTAGTTGGCCCAAAGGAAGATTAATATTTGGCCGAATTACATACACACCTGTAATGATAAACATGTGATAATTATAAGGATTTGCTTTGTCGATGATAAATCAATCCAAAGACTGGTTTGTTGTTGGACGTGCTTTATTGTCAATGTTTGATTATTACAACAAGATACCTCTAGCAGTTAATATTACTGTTCAAAGACTTGATATTAATGGTGCATTGAGTGTCTTGAGATGGGTTAAACCATTATTTGAATATATATTTTATTTATAATTATTTAATTTTATAATTGAGCATAATTAATTTATTTCTTTTGTTCTTAATTCAGCTACAATTGCTTCGTATTCTGCCAATTTAAATTTTGTTCCGGTCCTCAATGGAATAAATTTTAAGGACTGGAAAGAGAACATTGATATTATTCTTGGCTGCATGGATATGGATCTTGCGTTAAGGACTAAGCAACCCCTGTTCCTACGGATTCAAGTACCTCTGAATAGAAAAGAGATTATGAGAAGTGGGATCGCTCAAATCGCATGAGTCTAATGATCATTAAGTGCGGCATCCCGGAGGTGTTTAGGGGCACTGTTTCTAAAAACATCACAAGTGCCAAAGAGTTCCTTGCTGAAGTTGAGCAGCGCTTTGCAAAAAGTGATAAGGCGGAGGCAAACACTCTTCTTCAGAACTTGATCTCCATGAAATATCAGGGCAAAGGAAATATTAGGGAGTACATTATGAGCATGTCTAATATTGTTTTTAAACTCAAGACACTAAAGCTCGAACTCTCGGAAGACTTGTTCATTGGTGTTGATTTCTCTTCCTGCAACGTTTAATCAGTTTAAGGTATCTTACAACTGTCAGAAGGATAAATGGTCTCTTAATGAACTCATTTCACATTGTGTACAAGAAGAAGAAAGGCTAAAGCAAGATAAGATAGAAAGTGCTCATTTTGCAAGCACCTCTAAGGCTAAAGGCAAAAGAAAGAGATCGGAGGATCCCAAGAAGGAAGTTGGTAAAGGTCCAGAACAAAAGAAACAAACTCAAGAAAATAAATGTTTCTTTTGCAATAAGACTGGACACGTAAAGAAGCAATGTGCTAAATATCATGCTTGACGTGAAAAGAAAGGGTTGCCTAAACTACCGGAAGCCAACTGATTCTGAAAGATGGATATACGTTGAAAACGACAAATCGGTGGAGATGGAGACTATTGGACATTTAAGATTATTATTGTATACTAATTTTTTATTTTAGATTTAAAAGATATTTTTGTCGTGTCGTCTTTTAGATGAAATTTGGTTTCAGTTTCTTATTTGGACAAATTAGGTTATTTGTGTTTATTTGGAAACAATGAGTTCAATTTGTCTTTTAATTCATATATTGTTAGAATTTGTTCACTTTTGGCTTATGATAATCTATATTTACTTAATATTGTGGTCACCTATAATGAAACTCTTAATACAGAATCTCGTGGTATTAAACTAAAATTGGACTCCCGAACAGTAAGTAGTTACTTCATTGGTTATTCTGAAAGAGCCAGGGGATATAAATTTTATGATCCCACATTAAAGACATTTTTTGAGATGGGAACTGTTATGTTCTTTGAGGATATTGAGTTTGGGGGGAAGAATAAGATTAAGAATTTTGTATTGGAGGAAGAATCGACAATAAATCCAGAACCGATTCAAACAGTTACTTTTGATAAAGTAAGTTCGGAACCTCCACAAGACATTGAAAATAAACCCCATATTCAAGATGATTTGATTGTTCGTCAAGACCAAACTCAAGATCCTCAAGAACCTGTGCGTCATGAGCCGGGGATACTCCAATTACTAAGGGAGACAAGTTTAGTCTAAATTAGTGCCCAAAGGGGAATTTGGAAATTGAGGAAATGCAACAGATTCCCCATGCATTAGCTATCGGGAGTTTGATGTATTCCCAAATATGTACGCGTCCAGACATAACATACATAGTTGGGGTTCTAGGCAGATATTTAAGCAATTCAGGAATAGACCATTGGAAAACAGCAAAAAGGGTCATAAAATATTTAAAAAGAACAAAAGATTATATGCTCACATACAGGAGGTCAGACCAGTTGGAGATCGCTGGGTTTTCTGACTCAGATTTTGTAGGATGTCAATAATTTGTAGCATGCTATGAGGCATCAAATCATGGAATATGGCTGAGAAATTTTGTCACAGGGCTACAAATTGTGAAAGACATTAAAAGACCACT